ACTCCTTGGCAGCAAATTCCACTGTCGAACAGCTCTTACTATCAGGAAGTTCTTCCTAATGTTTAGGTGGAATCTTTTTTCTTGTAGTTTGGATCCATTGCTCCGTGTCCGCTTCTCTGTATTCACATTAAACTGCAGATCCGCACCTGTGGAAAAAGGATCTGAAAATAATGTTCTCTAACTTGCATGACTTACCTTTGTTGCCCATGTGAAGTGGGGTGCTGCGTTTCTGTGTACTGAAGGTGGCTCATCTATTACTTTCTGAGTAAAATGTTTTCTGAGGCTTTCATAGAGGGTCATGTTAACAAAACAGCTATTTTGAATATAAAACACCCTGCCCAAGCACTTGAGACAATCACTGTATTGGAGCAAGTAACTCAGGGCCCAATCCTGATTTGATATATGTAGAAATATATAATTAGTTTGAATACTATCAGTGATTTTTTTCTGGGGGGACACAGGGGTACACATACAAAAATTTTGTAAATCTAACAGGAGAAGAAACTAAAAAAAATTACAAATGTTAGTTTCTTCTCTAGCACAGTGAATTGTCAGTTCCGTTGCTACCCCGACGTCGGCTTCCTTTCCTTTCCTGGTGTTTCCTGAGTCTCAGACAGAAGCGAGTGTTTAATGTGTGAAGCAGTGTGGAATGTGGATGTATGGTGTTTTACTGATGAAATCTCATGCCAACGTGGAAGTTACTGTGAGTTGTCAGCTGTGTAATATGAAGTAATGCATGTTCTTTGTACCGTACTTTTGTCCATTTACTGTATTTATTTTGCCCGATTTGAACTATAAAATGGTGATTTTCTTGAGTCAAAATGACAGTACCCCTTAACATTTTTTTTAGAAAAAAGCACTATTTTTTAGAAAAAAGCACTGAGTATAAACTATTACACAGGGTTCAACATATCAAGTACTTTATTATGATTAATTTTTATTAATTGTTCAGAACATATAATCTAAGACAATGAAAATGGCAAAAAAGGTGATTTAAGCAATGTGTAGTAATAGAGAAGAGTGGGGGAATGTTCTGTTCAGACCATGATCCTTGCTGTGAGAATCTTGATTGTTCCAGTACGTATGTCTTTCATATCTTCTTCCTGGGGGTATGCTTTTCTCAAACTGCTGTTTGTAGGGCCCCTGCAGGGGGAAGGGGCAATTGCAGACCCTCCAAGTGTCATTATTTCCCAGGGACAGTCCTGGATTTACAGAAGCTGTCCCGGTTTTAGATTTGATCCTGGAATGTCCTGCTTTTCCTTAGCATGTCCCTATTTTCATCAGAAATGTTGGAAGGTATGGAGTTGTGTGACACACACACACACACACACACACACACCTGAGCCAAGGAGATAAGTAACTATACAACCTTTAGAAGACATTTGAAGGCAGCCCTATATAGGTAAGTTTTGTAACGTTTAATGTTTTATTATGTTTTTATATATGTTGGAAGCCCCCAAACTGGCTGGGGCAACCCAGTCAGATGCGTAGGATATAAATAATAAAGTTGTTGTTGTTGTTGTTGTTGAATAGGAAGTCCCTATTTTCATCGGAGAAATTTTGGAGGGTGTGCAATTGCCTCTGTCCCCTGTTGGGAGCCACACCTGTATCATTGTGTAGGGGACAGTCACATCTGCCTGTGGTGCAGCAGAGCCAACCTAAGGTAGCTTACAATTTCAGGACAGCTATATTTGCTTAAAAAGCACAGAGACTTCTTGCAAATTTAGTCACATGTTAGAGAGAGAGAGAGAGAGAGATCGCGCATCTGGGCATTAAAACCTAGATAGGCCAGCTGAAGGCCTCGTCTGAATGACACAATACTATGTAACGGAATTGTAGAAAAGCTTGACAATCTCTTGACATTTCTGTGTGCATGTTTCTGGTTTTTAGGGGAATTTATGAACATAGCCTTCAGGGTGCCGATTATGCTTGCTGTGATTTAGGGAAGCGTTTGGGGCACAGCTGAAGAGGAAAAGTAAATTAGGGCAAAAGCAGTGGTTTCTTTTCAGCAGATTCAACCACTCTCCTTTCCCACCCCCAGCGGCTGATAAAGTGCAGGCATACCTCAGAGATATTGTGGGTTCGGTTCCAAACCACCGCAATAAAGCAAATATCGCAATAAAGCAAGTCACACACACAAAATTGTTTCCCAGTGTATATAAAAGTTATGTTTACACTACACTGTAGTCTATTAAGCCAGGGCCCCTTGGTTGCGGGAGCTGCAGGGAGGGGAACCTGGCTCCAGCCCTAGCCAGCTCCACTCCTTTGGCCAGAAGGAGGACAGTGGCAGCTGGGGGCTTCTTTCCCCTGGAAGCAGCGGGGTTGCCTGCAGCTGCACCCACATCCTTGCAAGGAGCAATGTCTGTGAAGTGCAATAAAATGAGGTATGCCTGTAATGACTAATCAGGTTTCTCTAAGGAGATCCCATTAAAGATATAACTATGGCATAAACGTATGCAAAACTCATTTCCAAGTCTGGAATGTGAAACAACAAGATCAACCAGTTTCGGACAGCACTCTACAGGAAACGCACAAATGACTCTTCTGGGGTCTACAGTGCTCTTTCTACACTTCTAATTTCCTTTCCTAGAGTATCTACACCCAGACTGACCTCCCTTGGTATGACACCAAGGAAAGAATTAGCAAAGTTCTCCTCCAGTTTAGTGCCAAACTGTTTACACCACAGATGAGGAACCTTCGGCCCTTCAGAGGTTGTTGGACTATAACTTTCATCAGACCCGGGTTACACAGTGTTAGTAACTCAGGTATATAATCTAGGCGCTAAATGGTTCCCTAAACCATGTTACAGTCACCAAAACAGAATGTCTAGTTGCCATTTCTGGCCCAGACGGCTCAAAAGTATTGTTTTTCAAATGATGGACTGACTGTGATTGGTTATCAGTTAAACATCTGGCTAGTTCAGATGACAACCTTGAACTAGGTTAAGACTTTTGAGAACTTAAAGAAGAAAAGTCACTTGATCCAGGGACAGTCCACAAATATATTGGCCTATTCCGACCTCTTCTTCATAAACACATAAGAATATTCTGCACAACTGTCGGCAGGGCAGCTTGATTGCACCATTTTGAAAGAAGGCAAGATTCCCCATATGCATGTCAAAGATCAGGAATTCCGTGTGTGTTTTCCCCCCAAGAGCTGCCAGGTCAAAAATTCAAAGCCCCAAAGAGTTCACCCTAATAAAGTTCAGAAACTTCAGCCTGTTCAGAATTTGGTGGTCAGGTTGCTCACCGGGGCAAGATGGTTTGAGCATATTGCACCAATCCTCACCCTATTGCACTCGCTGGCAATTAGTTTCTGGGCCCAAATCAAAGTGTGGGTTCTGACCTATAAAGCTCAGGACTGCAATATCTAAAGGATCTCCTATCCTCTCCCTACCCACTACGTAGACTAGGGCTGCCAAACTTCCGAGGGGAATTTCCGAAAGGTGGTGCTTTTTGGTTTTCCTTTTTTAAAAAAAGATCACATTTGAGGTTTTCCTTTAAAAAGCTCAACAATCTTTCGGGATGTTCTGGTTTTTACTTTTTTAAATATGGCAACCCAAAACCCTGCAGTCATCACCTTCTTCATGTGCCGCCTGTAGAATGGCAACTTGAGAACAGGCCTTTTCTGTGGTGGCTCCCCATTTGCAGAATGCTCACCTGGTGCCTTCACTACATATCTTTTAACAGCAGGCCAAAACGTTCAACCAGGCCTTTGGCAGTGCCATAGCTACAGGGAAGCTAGCTGGGTTGTTGTTTTTTTGTGCCCTGGGTGAAGCCTCCCGAAGGGTGCTGTTAGGTAGTGAATTGAATAGGATCCAAAATGCAGCAGTCTGATTGGTCCTAGAACAATACGATTCAGAATGCAGCAGTCTGATTGGTCCTAGAACAATAGGATCCAGAATGCAGCAGTCTGATTGGTCCTAGAACAATGCAGCAGTATGACTGATCCGCAAGAGCCACCCAATCCAGCTCGAGGTGGAAGTGAATCCACAACCCGATTGGCCTACAGGGGAATCCCAGAATTAGCCAATCACATGCAGCCCATTGTGTAAATAATGTATCTAAAGCAGATATTTTGGGGGAACTTTCATTCCTCCTCACCACTATGAGCTGAATAAAGAGCATGAAATCCACTCTCGACTCCGAGTATATTTCAGGTGCCATTGAGGTTCCCAGCCTGCATATGCACAGATGTTTGTGGGTGGGTGTCAAACTGGGTCTTTGACCTGGGTAAAATAAAGCCTAGTTTCACCCCTGCCTTTTGGCTGATAAACATTCCATGGTTTCTTTAAATATGGGAGGAGATGGGGCAATAGGTTTGTTTTTGTTTTATTATGCATCTTGCATTCTTGTTTTGCATTTTTTCCTGTTGCAAACTCCCTTAGGATCTTCGGACAAATTTATTAAACGATAACAATGTACTGGTGCTGTTTGTTTTTAGTAGCCATACTGAGGCCATGGCTGTAGCCAGGATTCTTTTTGGGGGGGGCGGGGGGAGAAGAACCTCAGTTAGCTAAGTATTTTTATTTATTGACTTGATATTTTTGGAGGGGGTGCAGCTGCCCCCTCTGCCTACGCCTGTGACTGAAGCATCCTTTTTTCAGTAGCCCTTGCAAAGCATCCTTGAGGAATGGACCACAGCCGCAGGTGACCTCAGAATTCTCACCTGCGCTCAGAAGCAAGGCAACTCGCGCGCGCCCTTTTCCAGGATGCGCTTTTGGAGACGGGGGTGTCTGCGTATTTATTTGGAGAAGGCGCAGGCCCCCCCTTCCTCCGCAGCCCTTTCTCAGAGCACCTCCACCCTCATTTCTAGAAGCTTGCTGCTGCCCTGACCCCTTCCTCCCATGCCCCGTCTTGTCAAGGCCTAGCCTCTCTCGGGGTGGGTGGGGGTGGATGGAGATGGAGGGGCCCAGGGGACGGGAGGTGGCGGCGCGTGAACCTCCCGTTGCCATGGGAACTCACGCCGGGCTCGGCAACGCCGCGGAGGAGGCAGGAGGGAGGGGAAGGAGCTGGTCATGTGGCGAAACAAGATGGCTCCCGGAGCCTGAAGGGCTGCAGCCTGAGGTGGCCAAAGCGGGCGGCGCGCGCTCCCTTCTGCAAAAGGAGCAAGAGTCATTTTCCTCGGCGGGGCTCCTTAAGTTGGCCGCCCCACGCCCAACTCTCACCAGCCATTCCTCTCCAGGGTTGAGAGAAAAATGCATTCCTCTCTGGGGCAAGTAGCTCCTTGGGCAACAATGCAATAACTTTTTATTGCAGCCTCGCCGCTCTTTGTGTGTTTGTGTGTGTGTCCCCCCCCCACACCGCCTGCCTTTTGGGCACGCCGCCGCGGACGGGAGAGCTTGCAGAGCCCAATGTCCAGCCCAGCCCTCCTGAGCAGCCCCGACGTGATCCTGCGACTTGCGGCACCTTCGCAATGGCTCTTACCTTGTTTGGTGAGTAGGATCTCTCGTTCGGCATCCAGCTCCTCGCCACCCCACCCCCTTGTCAGTTAGACAGCATGCAGTAGGGAGTTTGCGTTGCAGGATTTAAGAGGTGCGAGCCCCCTGGTTGCCCCCCTTCTCCTCCTCTTCCTCCTCCTCCTCTCTCTCTGCCTCTGGTATTCCTTATTCACTTAATTCCTGGCTAGAAAAAAACAAGGCTGCTCTCTTTCTCCCATTGTCTCCGCTCAAGGCACATCTTATGGGCGTGTGCTTGGCCCCCCTGCCAATTTCGGGGGTTTGGAGTTGATTGGCATCTCGGAGTATGAAGTTCCAGACTTTCCAGATGATCTCTTAAAACACACACACACAAAACAAACCTCCACCATCTGTGTGTTCATACAATAACTAGCTTTTGCTGTAGAGTTTGCATTTGAAACAATGGTAAGTGGGGGTCCCCCAAAAGAAGTGTTGAAATCGCTTCCCCGCCCCTGTCAGCCCTCTGGTTTGCAAGGCACTCATAGATACTCATATATATATATATATATATATATATATATATATGTATATGTATATATCTAAAGGCATGGAAACATTAAAAAGAAATCCAAAATCTGTACTTTTGGGCGGTCTAATAAGGATATTGCTCTATATGGATTTGTGATTTATTTTTTATTTTTTAGCTTCTCTGTGGCATTGGAGAAAGAAGTTCTCACCAAGAGGGACTGGGTTGTTGTTGTTTGTTCAGAACATAGCATATTTGCATTTCCTCCTAAACAGATATAATTTATATATATTGGACAGCAAAAGCTGTGAGCATCTTCATAGAATTTGCTGAACAATTTCAAGAGAGGCTATACATCCAAGAAATGAAATGTCCTTTTAAAAGAGAGAGAGAGAGAGAGAGAGAGCGCGCGCGCTTTCAGTTGATATTTCATTTTAGCTGTAGGCGCTGTTTCTGGTAAATAAAGCAATAAAATGGCAGAGTTTTATATTCTGGCATATTAATATATTTAAACTGATTATTAAACTTAATTATGCACATTCCTAACGTAATAATTAAAAATGACTTTGCTACAGTGAAGGAAGCAAAATATAATCTCGATATTAACATATCATTTGTGGAAGCAAATTTCATTACATAAATAACTCATAGCTGCTACTTAACTTGAGAAGTGCTTTCTACTGACTAATTTTGCATAATTAGAATTTATGCATAATGTGTTTCCACATAATCTTATAGAGATGGTGTTTACTTCTCATATTTAGAATCAGATTTTTGCTGAGTGTCTGACACTTCTGGTAATGCAAAGTTTGTTAAGACTCAGCATTGCTTTCTCGAGCTTTTCTCCTCATGTTATTATAGCTGCTGCATTTTTATCCCTACCATTTAGTGTGCTCTTTATATTTTGTGAAAGTTATTCAGGGGAGACTTGGTGGATTCCTAATTTATTTATCTACAGAGCTATTTCTTGATATGTACAGAACGTATGAAATTATACTTTAGGTTACTCAAGTCTACCTGTAATGGAAAACTATCCAGCCAAATTACTCACATTGCAGTTCTCCCTTAGGTCTTTCATTGATCCTCCATCTCTGCTGATTAATGACTAAAATGAGATTACTTGTGGCTGAAGAAATCTTATGAAAGCCTTGCATAGCTAGAGAGAGACCAGTTGCCCATCATTTTTCTCTTTCTTCCCCTCTCCATTCTCCTGATAATTGCTGCCTCTTCTCAACCCAGGAGCGCAGGTGAAGTGGCAGCAGCAGCTGAGGTCACCAGCACAATGAAAATATCAAGATTAGTTCATAGTCTCTGCAGCTCTGCAGAAACCAGAAGACAGCCAATATAAAAGGCTGTGAAACACCTGAGCTTTGCAGGTGTGTAAAACACTGTTTCAAACCTGGATCGTAGTTTTGTGAATTACCAACTTTGGGGATTTAACCTTAATGAGCAAATCACAGACACACTCAAAAAGCCCAGTCACTTGCAGCAACTCTTAGAAAATCCTGGTAGTCATTGTATAATAATGATGATGATGATGTACAATTCTACATTCTCCAGACGTCAGAGACAGCTACAAACCTCTTATTGATGTGCTGGTTCTCTTGGATGTTCTATTGTTACTTTTAAAGCATATTTCTGAGTAGTTGGTAAAATTATTTGTGTGGTTAGCAGATGTTGCTTCTCTCTCCCTCTGTCTCTCCATGGATAGATAGATAGATAGTCCTTGCATTTAGTGCCCTTTTAATGTAATATTCTATTGCTAAACACCAGCTGTGTTCTGCATCAGTCCTGTGATGAGTACCAAACAAACAGAAGCATTGCCAAAGAGGCACTATTGTCCCTTGAAGAAACTATTGTGCAAGATCTACAACAGGGGTGGCCAACTCCCAAGAGACTGCGATCTACTCACAGAATTAAAAACTGGCAGAGACCCCTTTTGGGGGGTTCAGGTCAAAGTTGTTGAGCTTTTCTTAGGAAGGAGAAAGGCCCATTTTTGGGTGGTTCGGGTCAAAGTTGTTGAGTTTTTTCAGTGAGGAGGTAAAATGTAAATGTTGAGCTTCTTTGTGGGGAGCCAATGATCTACCAGTGAACCACCACAGACGTCCAGTGATCTACTGGTAGATCACGATCTACCTGTTGGACATGCCTGATCTACGAGTTAGCAGCACATGATCAGAAGAGTTTCTCTTTAGTCATTCATAACCAAATCATGGGAGGGAGGAGGGACAGTGCAGGTTCATTCTGTACAGGCCCCTCCGCAAGGCTGTCCCTGTGTTGGAGGCATTTTTGCAGCAGGGCAGCCTGCTGAATGCATGTAGATTTTCCCTCTGAGCTTGAGCCCTGAGTGCTCAATGGGGACAGCCTAGCCACATTCAATAGGCTGCTCTACTACACACAACACATGGAGAGCTTTGATTTGAGGCCAGCACAGGGCAAACATATATAGTCCCTCTCTCCTCCTCCACAGGATTATCTGCATCTAAAGAGGGCCACAAAATTGGCTGTGGTGGGGAGAAACAAGCTACAGTGGTACCTCTGGTTGCGAACGGATCCGTTCCGGAGGCCCGTTTGCTACATGAAAAGAACGCAACCCGAGTCTGCGCACACGCAGGTCGTGATTCGCCGTTTCTGCGTATGCGCGTGGCATCATTTTTTAAAAACACTTTATTAAGTCCAAATTAGAAAAACATACATACTTACAACAAAACGAAATACAAAAGAAAAAGAAAATGAAAATACAAATAACCAAGGAAAAAATAAGAAAATATTTTGTCTCTTTTCATATTTACAGTTATTTATACCTCTATAAAATGCTAATCACAATAGAGAAGTGAAATGAAAAGTAAGATATCTGAAAAAAGAACAAAGAGAAAATAAAGAAATAGAAGAAGAAAATCAAAAGTAAAGATTTTTTAAAGTAGATAAGTATTCACTATACACAGCCATTTCCAATCTATATTTATATTCAAATAGATAATTTCATCTTGTCCTTATCTACCTTAAGTAAAATGTTTTTTATGAGACATCAATGATGCGGGACATCATTTTGTGCGTATGTGCGAGTGGCGAAACCCGGAAGTAACCCTTTCCGGTACTTCCAGGTCACCGCAGGACGCAACCTGAAAAAGCGTATGATGAAGCAAACATAACATGAGGTATGACTGTAGTGCTTTTCTCAGCAGTAGTAATGTTTAATAGTCTTAAAAAATAGAGCTTTTTATCAGCTTTGGGTGATTTTCCAGCTGCATCCCTATCTAGAGAAAGTGAGCATTTCTATTATTATTATTATTATTATTATTATTATTATTATTATTATTATTTATTATTATTATTATTATTATTATTAGCTGCCCTATACTTGCAGGTCTCAGGGCAGTTACAACATAAAATCACAATGTAAAAACACAAAATACAGAAATCAAAAAATAAAAACAGAAACAATCCAGTAACTCCCACCCACCAACACATTTAAAAAGGGTATTGGTTGTCAGTCAGCCAAAGTCCTGGTTAAAGAGGAACGTTTTTGCCTGGCGCCTAAGGGTGTATAATATACAATGATTCATGCCCTGGTTACATCTAGACATGACTACTATAATACACTCTACATGCAGGGCTATCTTTAAAGGAGATTTGGAAGCTTCAGGCGGTACAGAATGCTACCACCCCGTATCTTTCTAGATGATCAGGGCATATAACACCCTTCCTTTTCTGGCTTCCCCTGCTGTAAAACACTGGAATGGTTCATAACACGATTTTCTTTTTAAAGAGAAAACACCCATCCCTATCTGTTTGTACCTCTGGGCTCCACACACTTGCAAGCCCCTGCTACGCACCTTCATTTCTGACTCCAGCAGAAGCTGATCGTCCTCTCTGACACAAATTTGATGGGTGTGCTTTATTGCTCATTGCAGGGTGGGAGGTTTTTATGGCTACGAAAAACAGAAAGAGAAAGGTCAGATACAGCGTTAATGATCAGCTATCTTTATTTTCATCCCTTCTGTGTTAGGAAAGACCCGTTTCTTCCTGTTGTTGTTTTAAAAAAGAATGCTTCGATTTCCAAGCGGGGCATCACGTTTTTAAAATGTTCCCTTGCATTTAAAAACAACGCTGACAAAGTGGAACCATTGTCCTTCTTACGCTTGTTTTCTTTTTGCAGGATTTTTTTTTTAAATGCAAGGGAGCTTTCAGACATGTTTCTGCCCGTCTACAATAGTACCTTCCCTTCTCAGGATTGTGCTGCGCTTGTAGGCAGGCCAGACTAATATGTTAATTGGATTATTGCACATTTAGGTTATGAAACCGTAAAATGGTATAGCGAACTGCACCATTTCAAGCTGCAGGTGGAGGATACCATTTCTGAAGGTTTCTCCATGTCAAGAAGCCCCCACCCCTAACTAGTAAATCAAAGAGGCCGTTGCCCAGCACAATTGCTTTCCTGTAACTTGCAAGGACAGTAACATCCTCCATGCCCCTTTTTTCCATAGGGGAGCAAAAGAACATTTAAAAA